TGGTGGACGGTGGTGGTGGTGGTGGACGGTGGTGGTGGTGAAGAGAAGTAGAAGAAAAAAATGGAGAAGATGTTAGAAGACATAGTTTAATGTCTTCTCCAAGAAGATGCCAGGAAGACCTTTTTGAGTGAAATGTCTTCCAGAAAACAAACAATCTGCAGAGCTCAGCATCTGCGCGCGTCTGCGCGGCGCAGACAAAAGAGGCCAGAAGCTCTTCTGGCCAAAAAACAAACACCCCCCTAGAAATTTGTGTAGATGTGTAGAATTTTCTAGAATGTTGTAGAATTTTTTAGAGAAATGTTGAAGTCTCTAGAAATGTGTAGAATAGTGTTAAGGTTTTTAGAATATTTTAGAGTTTTCTAGAAAAGTGTGGAAGTCTTTAAAAGTGTATTGAAAAATGTAGAGTCCTCTAGAATATTCTAGAACTGTGTGGGGTTCTCTCAATTCTTCTAGAACTTTATGGAAGTTTGTGGAGACTTTCTAGAAGATTCTAGATACGTAGAGATGTGTGGAGTATTCTAGAGAAGTCAAGCCTTGGTGAGGAGTATAAATAGGGGTGTGGATGTCTCATTTGGAAATGAATAAGGATGAAGAATAGAGTGAAGAACCAAGAAGTCTTATTGAGAGTGCTTGTGAGTGAGGTGTTCCTAATACAAAGAGTGAAGTGTGCTACCCGTGTATTTGTAATCTCTCTTATACATTTCTCTATATAATACAAAGTCGTTTTCTAAAGTCGTGTCTTTGTATTGTTGAGTGTGTGTGTGAGTGTACAAGAGTTTGGTTGTGTGAATCGGGGAAAAAGGTCGAGACATGCATCAATTCTCCAACAGAAACTTAGTATGAAAAGTAACTATTTGTAATTCGATAGATAGAGAATGTATAAACAGATACAACAATGTATAATAATTATTATTGAAAAAAGACTAAGTTATTTGTAACAAAAGGTTATCCGCTATGCCTCAACTCCTAGCTTTATGGACTCGTTTCAATATTGTCCAATATTCTCTTAAAAGATCTACAAAATTAGAAGTGACATAGGACACCGAAGCCCCCGTCTTCATATTGTCCAGTACACCCGTCAATTTTATAAATGGGGCACCGGAGCTCCCTGGGTCATTCAATGACATTGTCAGACAATGTTACGAGAACCGTTCCCATAATATAAATTTAATTGAAAATGAGTTGAGTCAACCATTAGAACAAATTTAGAATAGAAATAGAGTAAATTCCATAAAAGGTTCCCAGTTATAGGTCGTTTTACATATTTAGTCCCTACATATCAAATTTTACTAATTTAGTCCCCAATTATTATATTTATTTCCACGAATGGTCCTTTGTTAACATTTCCGTTAAGAACGTAGATAAAATTGTAAATTCACACTCCTTTCTCTTCTTAGTTAAGCTTCCTCCCTCCCCTCGCACTCTTTTCTCAAACCTGTCGCTGAGTTTGAAGCTTTGAACTCAAAACCGAAATCATCATTCTTCTCTCAATTGTTTGTCTAACTCGTAGAACCCAAATTCGAAACTAGTAACCTTCATGGATGAGTTTTAATGTTTATTTTCTTTGCAATTTCACGAGACTAACCGATAAAACTCATCCATAAAGTTTATTGGTTTTGATTTTAGGTTCTACCATGAAGACTAATAATTGAGAGATGAATGATCATTTCAGTTTTTGGTTTAGAGCTTCAAACTCAGCGACGAGTTTGGGAAAGAGTACGAGAGTAGAGATGAAGCTTAATTGAGGAGAGAGAGAAGTATGAATATACAATTTTATCCATGTTCTAAACAAAAACGTTAACAAAGGCCCATTCGTGAAAAATGATATAATAATTGGGGACTAAATTAATAATATTTGATATGTAGGGACTAAATATATAAAATAACCTATAACTAAGGACTTTTTATGTAATTTATAACCTATAACTAAGGACTAAATATAGGATGAGTTGGAGCACCCCAGACCCTGCCAGAGAGTTATTGCAGAGTTAAATGATGGATGGTTGTATGGATGGACTGGAGGTACCCCTCATTTAATTAGGATGGGGATTGGGATGTGAGAGAGAAAGGAAAGCGCGTGTGACAGTTGTGAGGGCGAGAGAGATATGGCGAGGAAAGCAGTTTTGATCGGAATCAACTATCCCGGCACCAAAGCCGAGCTCAAAGGCTGCGTCAATGACGTCCACAAAATGCATCGCTGCCTCATCGATCGTTACGGCTTCTCCGAGGAGGACATCGCCGTCCTCATCGACACCGACGATTCATATCCGCAGCCCACCGGCCGGAATATTCGCAGAGCTCTCTCAGGTCTGGTCCGAGCCGCCCGTCCCGGAGACTACCTTTTCGTCCACTACAGCGGCCATGGCACTCGCCTCCCGGCCGAGACCGGCGAGGAGGACGACACTGGCTACGATGAGTGTATCGTCCCTAGTGATTTCAACCTCATCACCGGTAAGATAGCTTTTTCTAAGAATGCTAATTCCAGATTTTGTCCAATCGCTATTCTGTTTCATTTTTCTTTCTCTAAATCATGAGGCATTGGGCGATCCTAAACAAACGCACTGCAGATCTGTTCGATTTTTGGATCTAAAAGCGTTCAGTGAAGTAAAAATAAAAGGCTTGAACATACTTTGGTGTATTTAATGGAACTTTTGGTGCATCTGTAGAAATGTCATATGTGTATAATTTATTTCCTTTAATTTAATTTAAATATTACAAAAAACTGACTTGAAAATATATATTGTTCGAAATGGGACTTTAGAAAATAATTCAAGTCTTTGCCGCCATACACATGAAATGGGACCAGAGTTTATTTGGAAATCTTGTGGACAATTTGGACAGTGATTATATTTACTATTTAGAAATGAAAGCTTTGAAATCTGCAGCAATTTTAATCACTAAATCTTGGGATTGATTGTACATTCGTGCGGTTTTGAATGACATCACTGTATGATCCCATAATATAATAAACTGTACCGACTTTGGGTAAAATAGTATGACAATACTGTGTAAATTGATGATGTTTGACTTTAACCTGTTTATAACCCCCTTGTGAACATAACTGGAGTCTTAAGCATAATTAATGAAGAAGATTGTTTGGATGTTCACGATATTCTTGACGAAGGCAAAGGATATGATCTTGATGATGGAGTAAAAATATTTGTTGGATTTATCAGGGGGTTTATCCAAATTTGAAATTACTAGTTATGGTCTGTTCTTTTCAAATGAAGTGTTGAACTTACTATCCTTGTGACTTCTTTCAAAGTTTGAGCCATGAAAAGGAGTATTGGCGTTATGATTATTTTTTCTTGTGTTTGAACCCCTTTCTCTATTCAGATGATGATTTCAGAGAACTGGTGGACAGCTTGCCAGAAGGCAGCCGAATAACAGTGGTATCTGACTCATGCCATAGTGGTGGGCTTATTGATAGAGCCAAGGAGCAGATTGGAGAGAGCACGCGCAATAATGCAGCTGACGAGGAAGAGGTGGAGGAGGATGGTGGTGGTGGATCGTCTGGATTCGGTTTCAAGAAGTTCTTGCGAAAGACTGTCGAAGACGCCTTTGAGTCCCGTGGCATTCAGGTCCCATCAGAATGGCACCGCCATCATCAACCCCACGGCGAGATTGAGAGAACGATACTGGTCGATTCGGAAGATGGGGATCAACACCATGTCAAGAGCAGGTCCTTGCCTCTCTCCACCCTTATTGACATTCTCAAGCAAAAGACAGGCAAGGATGACATTGATGTGGGCAAGCTCAGGCCAACTCTTTTCGACGTGTTTGGAGAAGATGCGAGTCCCAAGGTGAAGAAATTCATGAATGTCATTTTTAATAAACTGCAGCATCAAGGCGGTACTACTGGGGAGGAGGGTGGTGGGTTTTTGGGCATGGTTGGCGGATTAGCTGTGGATTTCCTGAAGTGTAAGCTCGACCAAAACGATGAAACCTATGTGAAACCAGCTCTGGAAACACCAGTGGGCAGCAAGCAAGAGGTCTATGCTGGCACAAGCCAAAGGGCTCTCCCAGACAGTGGCATTCTCATCAGTGGCTGCCAAACAGACCAGACATCAGCAGATGCTACTCCTTCAGGCAATCCCCACGAGTCCTACGGTGCACTCAGCAATGCGATTCAGAGCATACTCAATGAATCAGACCGACCCGTTTCGAACCAAGAGCTCGTTCTTAAGGCGAGGGACATATTGAAAAAGAAAGGGTTCACTCAGCGTCCCGGCCTCTACTGCTCCGACCATCATGTCGATGCTCCTTTCGTGTGCTGATAGTGTTTTATTCAATCGCCATTTCCGTGAGCATACTCTATACATATACACGATTATGATGCTTTTACATTCAAATTAACTAAGCAGTTGGATACCATGTGTTCTTCTTCCAGTGTGTTGGTTAATAAAGCTTATGTGTACTCAAATATGTGTATGTATTGGCGCATGTTGATTCTTTGTTAATACTTGATTGAACCAAAAAGGAATTGGGAGTATGTTTATTGTTCTGTTGATTCTATCCCATATGCTTTAGTGTGACTACTTCAACATAGCATTTTGGCAACACTTGTATATTTCTATCTTAGCAGTGAATATGACCAGCAATAATCATAACTTGACATTTAATGAAAATTCAAAGGTTGAGATTGTAAACATGTTAGTCATCGTTTGTTCTTACCTTCGCTTCCTAAGATGGGATCGAGTATATACAAATTTATGAGTTCAACACATTTTTTTTTGAAAACAAACAAACTGCATTGAATTTGAAGAGGAGCAAAGTCAGAAGGGGAAGAATCCCAATACATAATAGAAGTCTGCTCGTAGGCTTGCCCGTAGGCTGCAGTAACAAGAGAGTGTGCACAAAAATTAGAAGATCGAGGAATATGACTAAAAGAACAATAGATAAATCCCTGCATAAGTCTCTTGCCGTCCGGGCTAGTGATGCTAATATAAGAGTGATTGTCCATTAAGGGGTTCGCCATATTGTGACATAAGATGCCTAGTCAGAAAGTACCCGGACGGAAGAAACCCCACAAAGCTTTAACCAAATGAGCACCTCTTTTGTAGCCAATGTTTCCACCAATAACGGACACAAACAACGAGAGAGGGGTCCATTCACAGCCTCCAAGAAAGCTCCGTTAGAAGAGTAGAGGACAACACCAAATGTATATGAACTAGAAGCATGTGAGTAGCTTGCATCAGCATAACAAATAAGATAACAACTGAGTGATGCCTCTCCAAACTGCTGTCGTTGATCGAGCGATGCCTCTCCAAACTGTTGTCCGGGCTAATGGGGGATGAGCATAATGGGATTAACTTCATCTGCCGAGAACAATTCGCATATTAGATGAAGGTCCCAATCACCTGAGGTTGAATTTATCAAGCAATTAACTGTAGTACTGCTAAGATGGTTCGGCATAAAAGAACAAATCATCGGATCACCATTATAAGGCAACCAAGGATGACCCCAAACAAGTGTGCTTGCCCCGTCACCAACTCGGCGTCTTAACCCACTACAAACAAGCTCGTGCGAGGCCATAATACTTCTTCAGCAAAAGCTGGGGCAATTACATACCTTAGCATATATAAAAGAAGACTTAGGCAAATACCGTGCTTTGTAGACTCTAGCCACCAAGGAGATAGGTCTAGTGAGAAAGTGCCAACTCTATTTCCCTAACATAGCAAGATTGAAAGCACGAAAGTTTTTAAAACCCTATCTGCCAAACTTCTTCGGAACACATAACTGGTCCCACTCCATCCAATGGATGCCCCTGCTTCCTAGCTCCACAGGATTCCACCAGTAGCGGTTCCTCATGCGCTCCAAGGCTTTGCAAAGGGAATCTGGGATGAGGAAAAAACTCATAGTTAAAAGTAGGCATGGCTTGAGCTACAGTTTTGAGAAGAATCTCTTTACCTGCCCTTGTGAGCAACTTCTTATTCCAAGAACAGATCCTCTGTGATATACGAGAATACCGTCCTTATATATATATATGTGTGTGTGTGTGTGTGTGTGTGTATATATATATAAAATTTAATTATAGGTCAAAGGTTGAAAACAGTTGACCGAAAATAGTCAAAACTGGATAAATACTCAATGACAGAGATAGTAATAGTTGATGCAACTGCTAGCGAAAAAACAATGCAATTGATCTTTACTCTTTACATCGATCGTATTTGCATTTGGTTAGAAACCGATGTAAATGGTCTAAAATAACCGATGCTAAAAGCTTAATATGTAGTAGACACCTCATCCCCAAGAGTCCTCAGAACCGGCCGAATCTCATGGGAAGAGGTAAATTGAACTATGATCCTAGTTTGACAAGGAGTAATAGAATATGTCTTTTGTCGGTGCAACCTCATGCTCAACATAGTTGCCATTCATCTCCTTGCCAAGAATCAATCTCAAGTATTGCCCCTAGTAATACGCCTCACTTGCCAGCCAGGCTACGCCCACCTACACCACTAATACTTTGTTGCCATGATACCTTTTGATCTACACCAATCAAGGGCAAAACCCCCAAAATTGGCTTGGGGAAGGTGGTGGTGGGTAGTTTTGATGGGTGGGTAAGTCTCCAACAAATACTTCCTCCGTCCTATAATTTAAGTCCCACTTAGATTTCACAAAAATTAAAGTAAACTTTAAAGTGTGTTTGACCTTCTAATTTCACCCCTGAAATGATACTGAAATGACTCCTGAGGTGGGAAATATATGGAGTTGGATAAAAAAGCTGTGGGAAATTTAGGGGTAACCAAAAATGGAAATGAGACTTTAGTTTTGGGACACCAATTATGGAAAGAAAGACTCTAGTTTCGGGGTGAATGGAGTATCTTTAATCTGCTAACCAACTGATTTGCTCTGTTTTTCAGCTAAAGAAAAACTGTTTTATGCATATAGGTCCTCAGGAACATGACTCCACCCCAGATGCCAAGTGTTAGAAAATGTGAAAAAGGTGTCCCAATTTTACTACTAAGATGGAAGATCACTCGGTAGAGGGGGGATGAACAAAAGCCCCTTGGAAATTTGTTGGGGTGGGTACAAAGCCACACAACACAAGAATCTGTTTGTGTAAAGCAAAGGAAGAATCTCAAAAAGAGAGATACATCAGTGAGAAAGGAGAGAAAAAATGCATCTGCAAATATAAGGTAGAGAACCTACGTGGTGTAGGAGCACAATGCCAGCCAAATGTCTTGGAATGCCTGTCATTAGTATTGATCAAAGGTCGTTGTGGTCATTTTCATGCTTCCAATTAAGCTTGGCCAATGAGCAGAAGCTACTATGTGAAAGTACATAATGAAGTAATGTGTACTTGATAGATTTGAGTACACCATAATAGTCTGGAAATGGAAATGCGACTGGGCATCATGACTCCAGTTATGTCCACTTATCGTCATCATCATCTTTATCTTCTACAGCTGCGGCATTTAGGGCATTCCATCTCTCAATAAACTTAGCTGTCCTTTCTTCTTAAGGTAGCTTCTTAAGGCTGGACCTGCAAGTAGACATTGGAAGAGCGTGTTACGCAACTTATAGTTAAGCATAAAGTTAGATGGAAGCTCCAAAATGGAATTATATGTACCCTCATGTGCTACTTAGGCAAAACTCAGAAGCTTTTTAGTTTTTTTTCTGGCTGGCATCAGCCTTTGAAAATGAAAAATTAGGGCTACAAATGAGTCTCTTGTTCCATCGAATCAAAACAAGTTTTCAAGAAGAGGTCACTAGTAGGGAATGTTATTTGTATTTTTAAAAAACATAAAAATAAGGATATTTGAATGATTTGTTTTCTAATTTTCAAGGACATCAAATGGGAATAATGACAGAGGGCAAGAAGAAACAACGGATCAAGAAAAGTACTTGCCAGATTAAAGGAAAATGCACACACACAAAAAATCAGGAACTTCAAGGCAAAAACAACCTGCTTGGATTGGTGGCTATGAGTCATTTATGAGGGTGATGGATCAGCTATTTATACAACAAATGCTTTAATGAAACACATACTTACATTTCTACCTTCCGGCAATAAAGGAGTATATTTCAACTCGATTTAGCTTTGAAGCGAAAAGCTGCATAAGTCACACATTTTGGTTGATTTTTCTGAGAGCGAGTTTGTGCTCTTTTCCATTTGGTCAAGTTTCTCCAACAAAAAGATTTGTGGCTGAAAAAACAATTTCCCGTTAGATCGGTGTCTTAGAACAATCTGTTAATTAAGGAGTAATCTGTTAACCATAGGTTAGGTGGCAGCATGGACCAATTACATTGACTGTTAGTCAGATGTTTTTATCTGCTTATGGTGTAAACTAAATGAAATGAGAAGGGCTTTGAGCTAGTAAACTTTTCTAAGTTGCATGAAACTGAACAAAGTATATTGTGAAGTTCTGTTTATTTGCTACTGAAACGTTTAAATTCAAATGAGATATTTCACAAAGAGTGATAAGAAACTAACAGTTTTGTCACACAAATAAGAAATAGATTTCTTGGAGAATGTGGTATAGTACAATAGTTAATGATTTATTTTTATTTATTTTTTTTTTTGAACCACTTCACAATTCATTAACTCATCACAAAAATAAGATCATACAATCTTCAATACTCCTCCCTACTTAATTCTACTACCTGGACAGTATATTACTCTTCTTCAGTTTACTACTAATGAAACATCTAATATTGAACATAATACAGGAGACACACTCGTCCACCCTCACATCCTCCTTTAGGTGCCACTTAGTATTTCTAGCCTTCCATATGAAGTAGCAAGTTGCTGCCCATGCTGCTATCCAAATTCCTCTCTCCCTTATGGTTCCATGTCTCCTCATCTTGTCACAATATTCTTGGAAACTTGAAGCTTGAATTACACAACCCATGGGTACCATAATCTTACTGTGCAGCTCCTTGGAGAATGGGCATTCCCAAAATAAATGGTTGATGTCTTCTGCTCCATTATTACACAACAGGCACTTCGTATCAACATTGATGAACTTACTTAGCCTCTGTCTTGTCTGAAGTCTGTTCTTCAGGATTAGCCACATGTTGAATTGGTGTTTGGGTATCGTTAGTCTATTCCACACCACGCTAGCCCATTCTGCTTTGGGGGGTTGGCCTAGGAGCCATTGATACCCTTCCTCTGGT